GTCCCTCAGCTCTTCAGCTCAAGGGGAATGCTCTACCACTTGAGCCACAGCGACACTTCCAGTTTTCTGAGAGGTTTATTAGAGATAAGAGTTTCATGGAGTTTCCTGCCCGGGATGGCTTTGAACCTCGATCCTCAAACCTCAACCTCCTGAGTAGCTAGGATTACAGGTGTGAGCCACCGACACCCAGCTCCAAGTGGTATTTTAACAGGAATGCCAACCAAGTTGACTAGACTGCTACCTATTGAACGTAAATGTAAAAATTCTCAAGAAAATACAAGCAAACAAGACATGAAGATAGTCACAAGTGATATAGCTCAAGATGAAGTGAAATCCTAATATTGTCAAAAAAAAAAAAAACCTAACAACAACAACAAAAAGAAAACAGCTCTGCCTCAGCACGTGATGTCCTCTGCCATCACAGATGTTGAGCAGATGACAGCATCATGCTCTTAAACTTCTAATCTTCCAGAACCCTGGGTTAGATAAAACAGTATTCTTTGTAAAATAAATAAAAATCACTTACCAGGATCAAGTGGGATCTATCCCAGGTCTGATGCAAGAAAGGTTCAGTCTTTGAAAATCAAAGGTAATGTATCATCAACAGAATGAAGTATATACAACTTCTAAGAGGATAAAGATCCTCTTATTATATAAAGAAATTGCATTCAACATCCTTCCGTGATAAAAACAGAATAGTTCAGATATGGAAGGAACATACTTCAATAAAGGAAATATATGGCAAATCCACAACCTGTTAAAGAGGAAAGGGTTTACTTTGAAGTCTGAACAGAAGAACAATAAGGATTGTCCACTTCCATGGTTTGTATTTGATACAGTAATAGAAGCATCAGGACACTTAGACGAGAAAATAAATTCAGAGGTATACCAATAAGGAAGAAGTAAATTATCATTGGAAGAAAAAAGTCCAACAAAAGACAACTGCAGTGCAATACACGTGTGGTTGCACATAGCTCTTCTGTATGTATATCCTTTGGATATATACACAAGTGCTATGACAAGATTGTGAAGTAGGTCTCTCTTCATTTTTTTGAGAAGCTTCCGTATTGATTTCTAGAGTGGCTGCAGTAATTTACATTCCTATCAACAATGTATGAGGGTTCCTCCCCTCCAGACACACACATACCCAGCAGCCTCTCTAGCATTTTTTTGGGGGGGGTGGGTCGTGGGGCTTGAACTCTGGGCCTGGGCACTGTCCCTTAGCTCTTCAGCTCAAGGCGAGTGCTCTACCGCTTGAGCCACAGCACCACTTCCATTTTTTTAGTGGTTTATTGGATATAAGAGTCTCCCAGACTTTCCTGCCCAAGCTGGCTTTGAACCGCGATCCTCAGATCTCAGCCTCCTGAGTAGCTAAGATTACAGGTGTGAGCCACCGGCGCCTAGCTCTAGTATTTCTTGATTGCCATTCTGATTGATTGGGGTGAGATGGAATTCAAGTCCAGTTTTATTATGGGACTTGAATTCTGGGCCCAAGCACTGTCCCTTAGCTTCTTTTTGCTCAAGACTAACACTGTACCATGTGAGCCACAGTGCCACTTCTGGCGTTGTCTGAGTAGTTTATTGGAGATAAGAGTCTCATGGACTTTGCTGCCTGGGCTGGCTTTGAACTGTGATCCTCAGATCTTAGTCTCCTGACTAGATAGGATTACAGGCATGAGCTACCAACACTTGACTATTTTATGGTTAAGGACATTGATTTTTTTTCAGCATACATGTCTGAAGTACAGTGTATACATCCATAGAATTATGATGAGACCTTGCATTATTGATTTATAGTAGTAAAAAAAAACACTTAGACTTGATCATCAAATCCAGTAAAGTTTCAAACTGTAACTACTATATAAAAAATCAGTGGTATTTTATACACCAGTAACAAACTTTCTGAGAAAGAAATCATGAAAACCATCCCATTTGCAGTAGTTAAAAAGAAAAAAAGACTCAGCAATGTTTAAATCAAGTACGCAAAAGAACTCTACTATGGAAATTACAATGAAAGTAATCGACAAAATGCAAATAATAGAAAAATCTCCCATATCATGGTTTGGAAAAATTAGTATTGTCCAAATGTCCATAGTACCATACATTTACAAATTCAGTTTCTATGAATATGCCAATCACATCCTCCTCTAAACTAGAAAATCAAAATGTGTATAGAAACACACATGTACACACCACCCCTAAAAGCCAAAGCAATCTTGAGCAAAAACAACAAACCTCTAGTACCTGGTTTTGAGACATCCTACAGAGTTGTAGTAACCACAGTGGGATGACTCCATAAGCTCACATATTTAGAGCCAACTGATTCTTAACAAATGTGCCAAAAGCACACTGAAGAAAGGAGAATTTTCTCATTTTTCTCTGTAGAGCTGGGAACACAAGATAACCATGTGTAAATGATTGAAACTTGACCTTCTTACCTTACACCAAAATTAACTCCAAATGGATCAAAGACCTAAGTGTAATATACAAAACTCTACAACTTACACTAGAAGAAAAACAAAATACCTCAAGATAATTAATTAAGACAATGATTTTATGGACAGGACCCCAAAAGTTAAGAAAAACAAAAATTGACAAATGAGAATAGCGTCAGAAATCAACAGATGATGTGGCATCAAACTAAAAACCTTTGTAAAAGGCAAAAAAAAAGCCAGACGCCTGGTGGCTCACGCCTGTAATCCTCGCTACTCAGGAGGCTGAGATCTGAGGATCGCAGTTCAAAGCCAGTCCGGGCAGGAAAGCCCATGAGACTCATAAATAATCTACCAGAAAACCGGAAGTGGTGCTGTGGCTCAAGCGCTAGAGCACTCGCCTTGAGCTGAAGAGCGCAAGAACAGCGCCCAAGTCCAGAGTTCAAGCCTCAAGACCGGCCAAAAAAAAAATGGCAACGAAAATAGAAAGATGAGTCAACTGACAGAAAAGGAAAAAGTTCTTGCCAGTGTACTTGCCTATCCAAGAGTTAATATACAGAATGTGTAAGACACTCAATGTATAATGTCATCCAGTTAAAATTGGGGAAATGATCTGAACAGACATCTCCAAAGTATACAAATAGAGAAATTCTATGAAGAAATGCTCATTCTGAGCTATCAGGGAAATGCAAATCAGAACCACAGTAAGGCCATCATTTCATACTAGACAGAATAGCTATTGTCCAAGAACAAAAACAAGCAAAATGAGAGCTCTTACAGTCTGCTGGCACAAATGTAAATTACAACAACTATTATGGAGACATTGAGAGGTTTCTCAAGTTGTATGGTATTTGCACATGTGAAACAACTTGCACATCTATGCAATTAATACAACACTATAAGAAAGGAAGAAATAGGAAGTGGAACAATGGGTCAAGTGGTAGAGCACTAGCTTTAAGCTAAAAAAGCTAAGAAACAGCACCAAGGCCTGGAGTTCAAGCCTCAGTATGGGCACACAGAGGAGGAGGAGGAATAGGAAGAGAAAAAGGAAGAAGAGAAGACAAGAAGAAAGCAGGACAGGCTTCTCTAACCAGAACCGTGAGAATGAATATGGTCTAATCAATGTCTTTGCATGTCTGAAAATAGAACAATCAGAATGGTTTGGGGTAGTGGATAGAAGAGGGTGAAAGAATGGTGACAGACATGACTGGCCTGAGGTACATTGTACATGTGTGTAGAAATGTTACAATGGAATACCACCACCCCCTTATAAAACTAGCATATGCTATAAAGAAATTGAAAATAAAACTACTATATGATTCAACTCTCCCACTTCAGAGTACATATCCAAAGGAAGTGAAGTCATTACACTAAACAATAAATTAATAAAATACTGGCACTTGAACATTGATTGCAGAATACTTACAGGGACCATGATAGAGGATCAACCTGGGTGTCAGCAAGGGATGGGTAAAGAAAGGCAGTGTATACATATAGTAGACTAGCACTCAGCAGTAAAGAGGAATGAAATCCTGTCATTTGCAGCAAAATGTCTGGACTGGAGGACATCATCTTATGACAAGCCTGACATGGGAAGACAAGTACAACATTTGCATTCAGATGTGAAGGTTAAAAAAGAAAATCAATCTGAAAGAATGGTGATTACTAAGAAGAGATTATGAAAAGGAAAAGCTTTTTTAAAAATTCTTTTTCTATGGTATTGAAGTTTGTACTCAAGGCCTTGTGCTTACTAGGTAGGTGCTTTACTAGGTGATCCCTTCACATTAGGTCTTTCACTTTTTACCTGAGTGAGCCTCCAATTGCAATCCTTCTACCTCTACCTCCCACATAGCTGGGATTGCTATCACATAGCACACTTGGCCCAAGAGGCTGGGCTCTTGAAGGAAGATGAACAACAGGACCAGAACACAATTAGAAGGAATAAACCCAAGTGTTCTGCAGCACTGGGCTGCACGGTTTCACCATAACCTATTGTATATTTTAGGAAGAATTAAAGGCACTCAAAGGTTCTCAACAGCAAATCATAAGAAATCATAAGAAGATGAAAACTTCACCTTCATTGTATACCCTATGTTGAAATCAACACACCATGCCTCACAAAAATGTACCATTAGCATGTTAATAATTTTTAAAATACCAGTGGAAAATTGTAGACAAAGGAAAGGTAGAAGTAATAGCTACTTGGCAATGGAATAAATGGACATAGCTCTCCCATGATTGCACAAAATACTTAAAAGGTGGCAAAATATCAATCCAATGACTACACCTAAATGTGATATCTTTATTTACAAGTGTGGTTGTCAGAGTACAACAGTTGTGTCAATTCCAGGAAGAATTTCTCTTTCCATGATCACTGCATTCAGTGAAATGTGGTATATCTTATCTGTTCAATCTTTCTCACTCAGCTGGGCTAGATTCCATGTACAGATTACATATATATTATTATATATGTTATATGTCATGGTAGTCAGAGCAAGCTGACTCTTGACTTGAACCAATAGCTGCAGGGTTTGAAGGACCAGATCTCAGAAAAGAAAGTGAAGTCGTTTATATCTCTACTCCATAAGTTATTCTAGTAGCAATTGGCTTTCCATAAACATTATTATATGGTGCTTTCCTTTGGGCCTTTGGAATATCTTCATATTGGTTAAGATTTTCCGGGGTTTGATCAAAACGGAAACCTGTGAAAAAGACCCAGAATTAGAGGCCCGGTGAGGTGAGGTAAGGTAAGATAGTCTCATTCAATATGCGATTATATGTACTGGGTGAGATCTAATCCATATTCCTCTTCACTTCTCTCAGAGCATATATGTTTGTATGCTGTTTATCTGAAGCCATATTTGCCCCCACATTAATAGCTAACTGGTTCAGGGTAAGTATTGAAATTTGCAAAGGCTCAGTTATCTTCAGCTATACAACTGAGATAATATTTTTGTGTGACATTGATGTTATGTGCTTTGAGAGAACTTAGCCTCATGTCTGGCATCTTGTGCTCCATAATTAACTATCATTGAATAGTTATTAGTTTGTTTTTGTGCCAGTCCTGGTGCTTAAACTTAGGACCTGGATGCTATCCCTGTGCTTCTTCATTCAAGTCTAGCACTGTACCACTTGAACCACAGCTCCACTTCCAGCATTTTGGTGGTTACTTAGAGATAATAGTTTCATGAAATTTCCTGGCTGGCTTTGAACCACAATCCTCAGATCTCAGCTGCCTGAGTAGCTAGATGGTGCTGGTTCTGGTTTCCAACATTTTGAAGCTTTTTGGTTTGCTTATTAAAAATTATGACTAAGGGGGCTGGAAATGTGGCTTACTGGTGGAGTGCTTGCCTAGCATGCATGAGACCCTGAGTTCAATCCCTCTGTACCACATGAATAAAATAAATTCTAAAAAAATTATGACTGAGCTCATGCTTGTAATCCTAGTTACTCAGGAAACTGAGATCTGCAGATTATGGCTCAAAGCCAGCCCAGGAAGAAAACAAATTAACCACCAGAAAACGAAGTGGAGCTGTGGCTCAAAGTGGTAGAGTGCTACTTGAGCAAAAAGAGCTCAGGGACAGCACCCTGGCCCTGAGCTCAATCCCTTCCCCTCCCCCCCAAAAAAATTATAATTCAATCCATATGCAGCTAAACAATTCGATTCCCAAGTGACAATCTTTTCTGAAAAGGTAAAAATGACTTGGTAATCTCACTCATCCCTATGCTGTGTGAGCTCTGGAAATGTTAGATGCTTAGAAATACGTTCATATGTAAGATATCATTTTTGTTCATTGAGAATTTTCCATGAAGTATTGCTAAAAAAAAAAATCACTTACCCTGGAAGTTAACTGATGAGTTGCTTGTAGCAATTTGCTTCCAATTGGCAATATACCTAAAGCACATTATAAGGACATTAAATAGACTGACTTGTGATAACTTAGTTCATGATTAATCTCAATGTTCAATTCACTTTCCTTCGTCCTTAAGCAGGCAGCTAAGGCAGCCTCCAGGACAGAATTGAAAATGTCAAACCTATCATTTGGGGCTCCCTTCCCTTTTGCCTCCCTCCAGCATGTTTCTTTATTATGAAGTTTCTTTCCTGTAAGATCCTGCATTGAGTACCTAACAAAGATGTTAGCTAATTACTTTTAAGTTAAAAATTTGGACTGAAAACTCTCAACTATAGCATCTCCAGGAAAAATGACAAGAAAACCTTTTTGATTTGCATTTCCCTCAAGAATATATTAAATAAGTTAAATTCCCATGACAGAGGGCTGGAAAGATTTTGCTCAGGGCCTCAGACCTGATAAGAGATTACTACTTAAGCCATGCCCCCTGACCCTCAGACTAAGGGTAAGGTGTGTGTGTGTATGTGTGTCTGTGTGTGTGTCTGTGTGTGTGTCTGTGTGTGTGTCTGTTTGTGTCTGTGTATGTGTGTACATGTGTGCCAGTCCTGAAGTTTAAACTTAGGGCCTGGGTACTGTCCCTAAGCTTTTTTGCCCAAGACTAGTACTCTACCACTTGAGCCACAGATCCACTGCCAGCTTTTTCATGGCTAATTGAAGATAAGAGTGTCATGGACCTTCCTGTGCAGGCTAGCTTTGAACTGTGGTCCTCAGATCGCAGCTTCCTACTTAGCTAGGATTACAGGCATGAGCCACCAGTACCTAGCTATACTTTTTTTTTTGGAGGGGGGGTTCAGTTGTGGGGCCTGAACTCTGGGCCTGGGCGCTGTCCCTCAGCTCTTCAGCTCAAGACTAGCACTCTACCACTTGAGCCACAGCACCACTTCCGGCTTTTTTCTTTTTGCTTATGTGGTGCTGAGGAATCGAGCCCAGGGCCTCATGCATGCAAGGCAAGTGCTCTACCACTGAGCCACCTTCCCAGCCCCCTAGCTATACTTTTTATACAATTACATGTTCTTAACCTTGTTTCTAAACCTCAAAGTAATAAGAGTTACACAAAGACATAAAATTAGAATCAAAACACCTTGGTCTAATTTTCTGGGTTTTTTTGTTTTGTTCCTTTGTTTCTTTCTTTTTTTCTCTTTCTTTCTTTTCTTTTTTTTTTTTTTTTTTGTCTGTCATAGGGCTTGAACTCAGCCTTGGTGCTGTCTGCTGTCGCTCAGCTCTTCAGCTCAAGGATAGTGTTCTGCCACTTGAGCCACAGCACCACTTCCAGTTTCTGGTGGTTTATTGGAGAGAAGAGTCTCACAGACTTTCCTGCCCAGGCTGGCTATGAACCTGGATCCTCAGATCTCAGCCTCCTGAGTAGCTAGGGCTCCTGAGTAATTAGAATTACAGGCATGAGCCACCAGCACCTGGCTTGGTCTAATTTTTTATATCTCTTTTTTTCTTTTTCTGCTTAGATAAATGATCCTTTTTTAAAATATTTTTTTGGAAAGAGCATGTTTGTGGACCCAAGATTCAACCTAGAAATGGGAAATGCCAGGAAGAAGGAACACATGCTTTGTCTTTGCCCCCTACGGTGGCCTATGTACTTACTCATCAAAGTTGAGTGTGTTGGTCCAGTTCAGTACTTCATCCACCTCCCACTCCATCACAGAATCTACCCCACCCTCCTCAATTGTTCTTATTAGTCCTTCAGTGGCTGTGTGAATTAAATCTATGGTTTCATAATTAGACGTCTTGGCAGCCAGGGTTCCAGTGTAGTACCTAGAGGAAAGGAAGAGACGTAGATCCTCACATGCTCTTGACAATTACTGCTGCTACCTACACATTCACACTATTTTACACGGTAAACCAAGTTTTCATTCTATATAAATGTGTCTAAAACAAGACCTCCATGTTGGAAACTTTGTGCAGGGGAGGACGCGGTGGGAAAAGAAGCAACTTAATCACATTAACCAGAGAGGTCTCATTGAAAAGTCTCTTCTCCTTATGGGCAGCCTAAGTTTATATGCATGCAGGAGAACACAGCAATGAAACCTGTTGGGATTGTTTTAAGAGGAGGAAAGTAGAGTGGGAAAGAGTGACGGAGGGGATGAGATTGATTAAGATATATTGTACACATGTGGAAATGTCATAACGAAACATCCCTTGTACAACTAATGCCAAAAATTCTGTCAGTAAGTGTGTGTGTGTGTGTGTGTGTGTGTGTCCTAGGGCTTGAACTCAGGGCCTGGGCTAGCCTACCACTCTACCACTTGAGCCTAGCTCCACTTCTGGCTTGTGGATGGTTAATTGGAGATAAAAGTCTTATGAACTTTCCTGCCTTGGCTGGCTTTGAACCATGATCCTCAGATCTCAGCTTCTTGGGTAGTTAGGATTATAGGCATAAGCCTGTAAGGACTCAGCTTTGAGATACAAAGAAAAAAAACAGCTTACCTAATCACTGAATCATAAAAATATGGAAAAGAGCTTAGGCACCAAATAACAAACCCACTCATTTGATAGGCAAGGGAATAGTTGGGGGATTCAGTTACTTCTACCAGATATTTTTCATATGTTTTCTTCTTTCTTTTTAAAAAGAATCAGTTGTTGGCGGCTATTATTCTCATTTCTGCCTTTTTTTTTTTTTTCAGATGAAGACATTGAGATTTGGAAATTTTTCAGGACCATGATATAGTAAATACCTAGAAAGCCAGTATTCAAACTTGACTAAGTCCAGCCACCAACTTTGATATTATTTTGATCTCCTATCTGTACATGCACCAAACCAGTGAGTACAGATAAGTCAACAGCTCTTACTAAGGACACTGGAGCACAGTCATGCATTGCTCCTCAGCCAGGAAGAAATGTCCTGAGAAATGTGATGCCAGTTGATTTTCTCATATAATTATTGGGGTGTATGTACACAAACCTGGCTTTGTTAACTACTATACACCAAAGGCTATGTGGCATAGCTGTGGCTTCTAGGTTACAAACCTGTACAGAGTGTGACTGTCATAAAATCTGAAGGTCAACCTTCTGTTCCACTCATTCACATGGTCAGTCTTCATGCCGGAATGAAAATGTCATATTACAGCAGCTTTAGGAGTCTTGAAACCAAGTAATATAAATTCTCCACATTTGTTTTTCTTTAGATACTATATGTTTCATTAGTCAGCCTAAGTCGGACACCTACTTACATCTGTTTCATCCATTCTATCTTTTTAATCTTCCTTTTCTTTTCTATATCCTGCCTTCTCTTCAGCTTAGAGAAATGGAATTCTGTTTCCTTTTGGCTTTCCACGATCTCATTGTCTGTTGGTAACCAAAACTGTTGAGAAATGAAAATGAATAGGCCAAGTGTTGCAATATGGGTTGTGTGTTTAGCTTGCTATAGACAGGAGCTTGTATGTTCAGTAGGAACAGAAGAGGGAGTCTACCGTCCCAATGACACATTGAAATTTCAGAAGTGTATGCATAGAAGAAGATCACATACTTTATACTGAGGTATTTCATAAGTATTCAGTGAATGAATGAATGAACGAATGAACAAGTCAGTGTATCTTTAGGGTACATGAGGTAGTTCACTGCTTGTCCTACAAAATTAAGTGAGGAGATGGGTGGAGAGGGGAAGGGTAGGTAAGAATGATGATATGGGTAACATTGATCAAGGTGCATTGTATTCATAAACTGCTTTGTTGAATGGCAACTCCTTTATACAACTACTTAAAGATAATAATTTTTTAAAGAGTGGCTGTTGGGACTGGGAATGTGGCTTAGTGGTAGAGTGCTTGCCTGGCATGCATGAAGCTCTGGGTTCAATTCCTCAGTACCACATAAACAGGAAAACCAGAGGTGGTGCTGTGGCTAGCCTTGAGCAAAAGAAGCTCAGAGATAGTGCCCATACCCGGGGTCCAAGCCCCAGGACTGAAATAAAAGAGTATGTTGTATCATCTCAGATGAGTATACCTAGGCTACCATTGGTACTTTTTGGCTTTTGATGATGTCAGACTGGGAGGAGCACAGACACCCAACAGAACATAGAGGTACAACTATGACTAAGACTTCGTCCACATGACATTTATCTTCTAGTTGGTTGCCTGTTTTCCCACTTCTAATCCATGCCTACACCTGTACCATCCAGTAGCATCAAGGGGAGCCTTTATTGCCTTTATGACAACACTGCCTGCCCTGTGAAACCACCAAACATACCGACTGCATTCTACCTAGGGGTCCTGTTTGCCTCCACTGTCTTTCTAAGTGAAAGGTGGATCATGGGGGGTGAGGGTGAGGAGAAGGGATGGCCACCTTTACCATTGCTTCAACTGACCCATGACTGATGCTTTGCAGAGGACTGAATCCACATGGTAGTCACTTTCAACCTTTTATATTTACCGTCTAAGTATACCATCCACATCGTACAACCTGCATATCTAACCTGCTGAGTCCACAGAGAGCCTAGTTTCAAAGCTAGGTATTGAAAATAGAAGCAAATGTTCAGAAAAGCAGATTATTTTGCTATCCTTAGAATATCTGTAATGCCTCAGTAGCTGGAAACTTTTATCAACTAAATTGCTAGCAATTACTATTTTTAAATTTAAGGGTTCAAGACAGATATCAATAGCTCATATCTGTAAGCCTATCTACTCAGGAGGCTGAGATCTGAGGATCATGGTTCAAAGCCTGCCTTGGCAGCAAAGTCCATGACATATCTATCTCTGATTAATCACACACACACACAGAAAAAGCCAGAAATGGAGCCGAGGCTCAAGTGGTAGAACACTAGCCTTGAGCAACAAATCTCAGGGACAGTGCCTGGGCCCTGAGGTCAAGCCCCAGGACCAGTAAAATAAATACATAAAAACTGAAAAATTCAGGTTTCAAATGGCATGGATTTTTAAATACATAAAATTAAAAAATTATTACTATAGTTTTGCTCCTTACTCTTTCAGAGACAGGCCTCCATCCATTGTTTTCCACACGCCGGTACCAGCCACTCCGATCTGTGTCCTTAATTCTATTATTTTTGTTGTGAGACAGGTGTTTTGCCACAAGTTTTGTGTAATCTCTAGGGCTGTTAGCACACAAGTCTTCAACGTGTCTGTGAGTAAAAATTTTATAGTATATTTCAGGTGGAAACTTCACCTGTGGATGGAAAAGTTCAAAATACCATTGTAATGCAGTTGCAGACAATGGTTTACAATTTTATTTTTTTAAGTCACAGCTTTCCAGTTTCACATAAACATGCTTTGCAACCACCACATTAGAACTCAGGTGTACTTACCCCACCTAATCTGAATCGTACGTAGATGCCAGCAGCTGCATCCAGAAGCTCAGCCTAAAAGACATCAACATACTGTAGATATCAGCAAATACTTCTCACTCTATTATTTCTTTTTTTAATATATATTTTTATTGTAAAGATATTGTACAGAGGGGTTACAGTTACATGAGCAAGGTAATGAGTCCATTTCCTATGGAGCATTGTTATACCCTCCTTTATATTTCCCCTACCATCCCTTTCCTCCCCACCTCCCCAACTCTTCCCTCCCCTTTCCCACTACCCCTTCCCCCCCCCTCCGTAAAATTGTAAAGTTCGTTATCAACATACTGTCTTGTAGGTCGCATTGTTACAATGAGTCATCCTGTATCCTTGTTTTTTCACTCTATTATTTCATGATAGCTTCTGAGTATTATTTCTAGAAGATGTTTTTGTGCCAGTTCTGGGGCTTGAACTCAAAACTATGGTTGCTATCCCTGAGCTTTTTTGCTCAAGGCTAGCATGCTACCATCTGAGTCACAGCTCCACTTCTAGTTTTTTTAGGTGGTTAATTGGAGATAAAAAAAATCTCAGGGATGGGGCTGGGAAGGTAGCTCAGTGGTAGAGTGCATGCCTTGCAAGCATGAGGCCCTGGGATCGATTCCTCAGCACCACATAAACAGAAAAAGCCGGAAGTGGTGCTGTGGCTCCAGTGGTAGAGCGCTAGCCTTGAGCTGAAGAGCTGAGGGACAGCGCCCAGGCCCAGAGTTCAGGCCCCATGACCGGCAAAAAAAAAAAAAAAATCTCAGGGACTTTCCTTCCCTGGGCTTGCTTCAAACCATGATCCTCAGACCATGGTTTCCAGAAACCTTGGCAGGGGTGATTTGGAGTATGAAAACGTTGATCTGGGTGATGCTTACACATGTGTTTACATTGTGATGACTCCTGTATTTGTACTTTATGAACCTTCAACTTGTGATGGTGTAATAAGATGGTTTAATTTTATATATATATATATATGTATATATATATGTATATATATATATATATACATATATATATGCAGTACTGGAGATTGAACTGAACTGAAGACCTCATGCTTGCCAGGCAAGCACTATACATGACCATGTTACCATCTCCTTTTTTACTTTAGTTTTATTTATCAGACAGATCCTCTTACTTTTGTCTGGGACTAGCCTTTGTTCATGATCCTTCTACCTCTATCACCTCGTATTATAGGTATTTTATGTCCAGCCATCATTTTCTATGTATTTATACATTATGGGCTTTCAACATGTAATACTTCAATAAAAAAAAGTTTTTAAAAGAAGCCAGAAGCTGGTGGCTCATGCCTGTAATCCTAACTACTCAGGAGACTGAGATCTGAGGATAGAAGTTTGATTCCAGCCTGGACAAGAAAGTTCATGAGAATCTTATCTCCAATAAAAAGAAAAAAGCCAGAAATGGTGCTGTGGCTTAAATGGCGAAATGCTAGCCTTGAGCAAAAGAAGCTCAGGGACAGCACCCAGGCCCAGAGTTCAAGCCCTAGGACCAGCCACCACCCCCAAAAGAAAAGTTTTTAAAAGAAACAAATATTGGCAAATATTGGCATCTTGATCAACTCGGGGGGGGGGGGGGGGGAGAGGGTGCACTCTACCACTTCTGGCTCTTCTTGGTGGTTAATTAGAGGTAAGAATCTCAAGGACTTACCTGCCCAACCTGGCTTTGAACCATTATCCTCAAATCTGTTTCCTGAGTAGCTCAGATTACAGCCATTGAACCACCAGCCCACAGCCTTAACCACACATTCTTAAGAAAAAGAAAAGTATGTTATGTCAATAAATAACATCCTTACCTCTTTAGGATTAATGAATCTCACTATCTGACGCGGCTCTCCTTGTCTTCTTAAATCAATCAGATTTTTAATATGTTGGAATATACAAGCATTCTAAAGGTTCAAATACATAAGATTTCATGGTAAAAATGGGATTTTCTGTTTCTTATCAGCTATTGGCTTACTAGGGAAAAAACAAACAACAATAAAAATAGTGTTTGTGATACAAACTAGATTTTAGAATATTACCCATTCAGGGTTTGTTTTGATAAGCTAGACAATAATGCATTGTTCGACAAAAAAGTTTTACTCTTAAATTTATACATGTACCTCTGTTGGCTATTGATAAAATATCCAAAACTTGAGTCCCATCTGAATAATTCTTCAGAATATTTTAGGATGAAACAAAATACAAGCAATGGTCAAGAACACCAGGATTTCGGGCTGGGAAGGTGGCTCAGTGGTAGAGCGCTTGCCTTGCATGCATGAGGCCCTGGGATTGATTCCTCATCCTCAGTACCACATAAGAAAAAAAAAGCTGGAAGTGGCACTGTGGCTCAAGTGGTAGAGTGCTAGCCTTGAGCTGAAGAGCTGAGGGACAGTGCCCAGGCCCAGAGTTCAGGCCCCAGGATGGGACAGAAAAAAGAAAAAACACCAGGATTTCATAATATTATCTGCATTCAATTGTTGGTATTTACTGTGTGATGAAGAACAACTTGCTGGACATCTCTGTATTCAGTTTCTTTACTTAAAACATGGGAATGAGAGTAGCTATCTCACATGGTTATAGTGAAGAACAAATGTGTCACTATTGTGACACAGAAAGCACTCACAAGAATATGAGACCCTATCCAAATTATAACTAAAGTGAAAAGGAATGGGGGTGTGGCTTAAGTAGTACTACCCCTGCCTAGCCACTACAAGGTTCCAAGTTCAAATACCAATACTACAACAAATAATAAGAAATAAGAGGGGAAATAATTCCTAGAATCAAATGAAGTACAAAGAGTTGGAGGTGTGGCTCTGTTGCTAGAGTGCTAGCAAATGAGCAAAAGCATCAGGTACTGAGTTCAAGTTCCATCTTGGACCAAAAACGAAAATAAAATACTGGAACCTTTAAGATATGGCAAAGGAACAGGCAAAAGGAAAGTTTACAGTGCTTTGAGCAAGTATATTAAAAATAATCAGCCAGGCTCAGTGGCTCATGTGTGAAAGCCCAGCTACTTGGGTGGTATACCAAGAATCTATCTCTGCCGGGTGCTGGTGGCTCACACCTGTAATCCTAGCTACTCAGGAGGCTGAGATTTGAGGATCACAGTTCAAAGCCAGCCCAGGCAGGAAAGTGAGACTCATCTCCAATAAATCACTAGAAAACTGGAAGTGGTGCTGTGGCTTAAGGGGTAGAGCATTTACCTTGAGCTGAAGAGCGTAGGGACAGTGCCCAAGACCAGAGTTCAAGCCCCACGACCAAAAAACAAAAAAACTAAAACAAGAATCTATCTCCAAAAACAAGAACAAAAGCTTGGCAAGGTGGCACACACCAGTAGTCACCATTACAAGTTAGAGCTAAATAGAAGAATTGTGCTTCAGTCTTGCTAGGAAAAAAAAGAAGAAGAAGAAGACCTTATCTGAAAAATAATTAAGGCAAAATGGGATTGGGACATGTCTCAAATGGTATAGCTTGCCTGTCTAGCAAGCATAAAGCCCCAAGTTCAAACTCTAGCAGTACCTCAAAAATAGATCTCAAATATCCTAATGGTTCACCTCATACTCTTAGCAAAAATTCAAGATCAAACCAAAGCCAATATTAGTAGCTGGAAAGAATATTAATACATAAATTAAAGAGACAGAAACTAAAAACCATTACAAAGAATAAACCAGAAAGTTGACTCCTTAAAAAAGATAAAACAAGGGACTGGGCTTATGGCTTAGTGCTTGCCTAGCATGCATGAGGCCCCGGGTTCAATTCCTCAGTACCACATGTACCACATACTATGTACTACGTACACAGAAAAAGCTGGAAATGGTGCTGTGGCTCCAGTGCTAGAGTGCTAGCCTTGAGCAAAAGAAGCTCAGGGACAGTACCCAGGCCCTGAGTTCAAGCCCCAGGACTGGCAAACAACAACAACAGAAAAGACCCCCAATAGCCAAAGTAATCCTGGACAAAAAGCAATGCTTCAGTATTACAATACTGGACTGCAAATTACACTACCGAGCCAGGATAATGCTACAGGCCCAAAAACATGCACATAGATCAGTGTAATATAAGAGAAGTTATAGAAATAAATCCACTAAGCCACAGCCATCTGATTCTTCACAAAGCAGCCAAAAATATACATTGGAGAAAGAGAGCTCTTCAACAAATGATGCTGGGAAAATGGCTGTCTGCGTATAGAAGACTCCAACTAGACTTTTCTCCCTACTCAAAAGTCAATTCAGAATGGCTTTAAGATTTATTTGATTAACTGGAGCAGTGTTCTAGAAACAGATGAATACGATTTCACACAAAACCACCAACACAGATTCAGGAGTATAGTTCAGTGGTAGAGAACTTGCCTCGCATATGTGAGGCCCTGAGTTCAATCCCAGCATCACACATGTATTATCTATCACACACAAAATATCACCAAACACAGGCAAGTTGTTACTTTTTTGTTTTTTGTTTTTGGTCAATTGTAGTTGACCTCTGGGCCTGGGCGCTGTCCCTCAGCTCTTCAGCTCAAGGCTAGTGCTCTACCACTTGAGGCACAGTGTCACTTCTGGTTTTCTGGTGGTTTATTGGAGATTAGAGTCTCATGGACTTTCCTGCTCGGGCTGGCTTTGAACTGTGATCCTCAGATCTCAGCCTCCTAAGTAGCTGGGATTATAGGCGTGAGCCACTGGTGCCTGGCAGATTGTTACTATTTTTTTATTTTTTATTTATTTTTTTTTTGGGGGGTCCGGTCATGGGGCCTGAACTCTGGGCCTGGGCGCTGTCCCTCAGCTCTTCAGCTCAAGGCTAGCGCTCTACCACTTGAGCCACAGCGCCACTTCCGGCTTTTTTCTTTTTGCTTATGTGGTGCTGAGGAATCGAACCCAGGGCCTCAGGCATGCAAGGCAAGCACTCTATGACTGAGCCACCTTACCAGCCCCCGGCTTTTTTCTTTTTTGCTTATGTGGTGCTGAGGAATTGAACCCAGGGCCTCATGCATGCAAGGCAAGCGCTCTGCCACTGAGCCACCTTCCCAGCCCTACTATTTTTTTTAAAAGGAAGGCTTTTTCAGTTTTTGGCAGGGTGGGAGGGGGGGTGGGGGGGGGGGGCGGGTAGTATGGGAAGGGATTGGAAGGGGAAACAAAGGAGGAGGCTACAATGCTTGATAAGAAATGTACTCATTAGCCGGGCGCTGGTGGCTCACGCCTGTAATCCTAGCTACTCAGGAGGCTGAGATCTGAGGATCTCGGTTCAAAGCCAGCCCGGGCAGGAGAGACCATGAGACTCCTATCTCCAATAAACCACCAGAAAACCGGAAGTGGCGCTGTAGCTCAAGTGGTAGAGCGCTCGCCTTGAGCTGAAGAGCTGAGGGACAGCGTCCAGGCCCAGAGTTCAAGCCCCACAACCGACAAAAAAAAAAAAAAAGAAATGTACTCATTATCGTGCCCATGTAATTGTAACCCTTCTGTACAGTATTTTCACAATAAAAAAAGAATAAAAGTTGTCATAGATAATAAATAATAAGCACTAAAAGATGGCCTCAAATAAAAATAATAATCAATTTGTGACTTTTAAACCTGTTGGCTTTTGTGTTTGTGGGTGCACGAATACACATCGTGTGCACCACATGTCAGTCTGAGAGTTTGAACTCAGAACGCAGAACTAAGCCAGGTTCTGGTGGCTCACGCCTGTAATCCTAGCTTACTCAAGAGGCTGAGATCTGAGGATCATGGTTCAAAGCCAGCCTGGGCAGGAAAGTCCATGTGACTCTCATCTCCAATAAACCATTAGAAAACCGGAAGTGGTGCTGTGGCTCAAGGGATAGAGCACTTGCTTGGAGCTGAAGACTGCAGGGACAGCACCCAAGCCCAGAGTTCAAGCTCCACGACCGACCAAAAAAAAAAAAAAAAAAGAACTCAGAGCTACTACTCTACCACTTGAGCCACATCTCCATTTCAGTTTTGGGTATTTTATTAGCGATAAGAGTCTTACAGACTTTGCTGCCTGGGCTTGGCTTTGAACCATGATCTTTAGATTTCAGCCTCCTGAATAGCTAGTATTACAGATGTGAGCCACAGGTGTCCAGCTGAAACCTTTTAAAGAAAAGTGTTGTCCACAGTTCTGTAAATAATAAATAAACTACTGAATTTCAGAATTTCGGTATATCTTCAGGTTTTTCCAAGATGAATTGTGTGTGTGTGTGTGCGCGCACACACACGTGCACGCTCGTGCTTGTACAGGGGCTTGAATTTAGGGTCTGAGTGCTATCCCTTAGTAGGCTGGCACTATCACATGAGCCGTACTCCACTTTCAGCTTTTTGTTGGTTAATTAGAGATCAGAATCTTACATTGACTTTCCTGCTACAGCTATACAGATCTCAGCCTCCTTAGTATCTAGGATTATAGGAGTGAGCCACCAGCACCTGGCTACAAAGCTGAATTTTGTGACATCCAGATACCACCACAATAAAGCTGCTAAGAAACTCACAACAAAACATTTCCAGGCACTCTGGATGACTCTTGCTGCTCCATCCTCCTTGATAGACGATAGGGTATCTTCCTGGGTCACCTCAGACTCCTAAATAGCAACAAGCAAAATTAATATATTTAAAATCATTTTAGATGCTCCATGAGCAAACTTTTAAGTAGAGCTCAATAGAAATTCAATAAAGGGGGAGGGCACCCAGTGGCTGACACCTGTAATCCTAGCTGCCCAGGAGGCTGAGACCTGAGAATCATGGTTCAAAGCCAGCCCAGGCAGGAAGGAAAGTCCATGAAACTCTTACCTCCAGTTCACCACCAGAAAACCAGAAGTGGTGCTATGGCTCAAAGTGGTAGAGAGCTAGCCTTGAGCAAGAGAGCTCAGGGACAGCACCCAGTCCCTGAGCTCAAGCCCCACAACTGACCCCCCCAAAAAAAAAAAAATCAATAACGGTGTTTAAATGAAAAATGAGGTTTGGTAGCAAAATCACTCTAATACAAAAAGTCACCTGTCAACTGATAGTTTTTTTTCTTCTAATTTCAACAGTGTTATAGAGTTCAATATGCTTCTATTAAATAGGAGGGGACTGAGCTTCGAGGTCTATGAGCTCTAATACAGGGCTCCATCCAGTGTGATCATCTTTAGAGTCTATAACATTTTTATATTTACCATGTACGTTGAGGTGACTTTTGTTACAATATCTCATGGCTGTCAAGAATTTGTTTTTTAAAGCAGCCGCAGGGAGCGCTGCCATGCATGGATCTCAGGGAGTACATCTGCCTTTTCATGTTTCACTCTCTTTTCCCCTTGAAAAAACACAACACAACGCTGGAACAATCCTAAAATGGTTGGGATCCAAATCTATACTTCCTATTTTATTTCCTTCGCTGCATCTTAAATGACTTACAAGTGTATTGCAGGTTTTTCACCAATTCCGTAATTTTGATTTTCATTTTTACCTGTGCTCTTATACTGAGGGAGAAGACAAAACCAAAACATCTTTATAGGGGTGCATGGAGGGCGTGGGCTCCTAAAGGCCCCACCCAGGCAAGGCTCAGACCAGCTGCCAGAGAGGGGAGCGGAGAAGAATGAGGGGTTAGAGGAGCAGGGGTACCGTCTCAGAGGGAGAAAACTCCATCCTTCAGTGCCCAGGTCCACCGCCTGGCTGGCCTTGTTTCCTTGGTAACCACGCAGAGGTAAATGACGCACTTCTTTGTTCCGCCTCCTAGGACCCGCCCACCTCTAACCCCCAGCTCCCCGCAGCTTTCCACTTGGGAGGGACTTATCCTTGGCTGGGAGGGGGTCATCTCATGAACTCAAACCTGTACCCTAAAGTTAGACTATTAGAAACCGTCACTTCCCATGTCTTTGAGGTAAAGGAGTCTGGAAAGGAAATCAAAATGATTGCCTAGAAATTGTTTATAAAGCCTGGTGGTCATTTCAACCAAGAGAAACAGTGGGATGGTTTCTATTTAATGAAGTCAATGAGTTCCCTTGTGAATATGAATGCTAGCCTTAAGTGATCTGACAGGCCTTGCTCAAAGTCAAGAATCAGCTGACTGCAGTCCTTTGTCATTGCTAAACCTAAATCCCTTAGCTAATAAAGCGAAAACCAGCTTTGAAGTGAACATAGCCAAGTCCTTAGATGAGTTTTCAAGTATGAGTATCCAACGCATTCCGAATATGAGTATGGAATGCGAAATATCCAATTTGGGGCAGTTCTTAAGCGGTAAACTGTCACAATGGAAAAGACTGGTGTTTAGAACAGCTAATCTTCCTCCCTGACTCCTCCCACACATCCAGGGCACATTTTTTTCCTATATAATAATCATATTTGTATGGAAAAAAGTAATCTGGAAGTTAATTCAGCGATTGGCTGAGCTTCCAGTGTTCTTATTAAAAACCTTTATGGCAATCATAGTATGTAGAGGATGAATTGCTTCCCTAACATGTAGTTTGTTACCTTCGTGGATTAATACGCTGTAATCATAAATAAATACCAAAAAATGCAGAAGGGAAAGCACACATTATGTATGCCTGTAACTTTTCATCTAGCACAAACCAGGTTTAGAATTTTAACTTCCAATCTCCCAAAAAACACAACCAACATAAACACAACTCAGTGCCTCAAGACTGTACCTCAAAGTGGTTAGACCAATAGATTTAAACATTACCACAGTTTAGAAATTTAAAATTAAAGTTGGGCACTGGTGGTTCATGCGTATAATCCTAGCTATTCAGGAGGTTGAGATTTGAGGATCGTTGTTTGAAACCAGCCCAGGCAGAAAGTCCATGAGACTCTTATCTTCAATTAACCACCATTATTTTCAATTAACCACCAGAAAACTGAAGTGGTACTGTGGCTCAGAGTGGTAGAGTGTTAGCCTTGAGTAGAAAAGCTTAGGGACAGCACCTCGGCTCTGAGTTCAAGCCCCATGACTAACAAAAGAAAAAAAAATTAAATACTATGAAACTAATTCAATAATTCAAAACAATTTTTAATGTTGAGAATAAAATATAAAACATTTAATGCATAAAACCTCGTTTAAACACTTTAACAATAAGCTCTGCATATTTTAATGTAGTGTTTAAGATAGTTTTGCTTCCTCGTTATCAGGGAAGAATTTCTCTTTACCAACCATATAAAGGTAAGAAATAGAAGCCAGGGGTAGGTGCCCTTTCATTTTGGCTGTTCAATAGAGTGAGATCAAGATTCAAAGTGAGCCTCTGCAGAAAAGACATGTGAGACATCACCAATTAGCCAGCAAAAAGTCTGAAATAGAGCTGTGGTTCAAGTAGGAGAGCACTAGCCTTGAAAGAAAAAGAAAAGAAAAAAAATAAAGCTCAGGGATAGCACCCATCCCTGAATTTAAGAACCATGACCAACACACACACACACACACACACACCCCTTTAAAAAAAGAGTTGATATGAGAAAGGATACATTCTTCCAATGTAGTGGGAGAGAATGCACAATTAAATCCTATTTCTTTCCCTTGCACTTTCGCACTGGACAAACTCCAACAATAGACAAGGCTGTCCGGGAGCATGACATCTTTTAAGATTGTAGAATGTATTTCATGTAGTTAAAATAAAGAAAAAACTCAAAGTTGCCAGGCTTGGTGACAGGTCTGAAATCTCATGTCTGCCATACCAGCACTGGGAATGCTGAGGCAGGAGGATTTTTTTTTTCTTTTTTAACATTTTATTATTGCTATCTTTAAGTAGTTATACAAAGAAGTTCCTATTCTACAGAACAGTATATGAGTACAAGTGTCTGATGACATTGTCACCCATTGCTGGCAGGAGGATCTTGATGTTGAGGCCAGCTATGAACTGGGCAAGGCCTTTTTATGAGTCCCAGTTTTGCTCCTTCTGAAACCAGCTCAATTTCTGTCTGACTAATCTTGCACCAATGTTACTGGGCCCTACAGGTCCCAGTCCTGTATCTGTTACCATTTGCAAATCCAGTGTGGATAAAAATATTTGCTCAAACAGGCCAGGGGCTTAGCTTAGTGAATGATGCTTGCCTAGCAAGCCTGTAGGCCTGAGGTGTACCCCAACCACTACAGCAATAAACAAAAGCCCCAGACGTTTGCTCAGACAAAGCATAAATGTAAGGTATCTTGGAATATCAGAGAGAATATACTCACAACTCCCATATAGAACAAGAGATCAGCTTTAAGGGCATAGTGGGCTCCTTACCTCATTCTGCTGGAGTCCCTGGAGCTCCGTGTACACCTTGATTTCTATGCCAGGACTGCCAAAAGGAAAATTCCTTGGGCCAATAATTTATTCCAATTTATTTGAGTGATGCACAAATCACACAGCTTCCTGAACCAAAGTGTGTTCTGCAAACCCGCAGTCAACCCCCCAGGTCCTACAGCATTTATAGCAAAACACAAACAAGGCCTAGAATACAACTTAACTGGCCATAGCCTAGTCCTGCAGTCATTGTGCACTGGCCACAGTCTAATCGTGTAGTCAATTTATTGCACCTTAACTCATGAATTGTTTGCAACCTAATCAGTGAACTGGCTACTGGGGCTGCTGTAACTGAGCCAAAGTTGAGTTCTTGATGAAACTCTGCATGGGTGGGCTCTGCTGGGCGGAGGGCAGAGAAGACTTGGAACAGCTGAGCTTGGGTTTTAGTGACTCAGGCATAATTCCACAGAGGTTGATACCCCATAGGGGAAAGTAGTTCCTGGAAATAGTAAACTATAGTTCTGCACAAGAAATGAGGATTTTTTTTTTAAATGTAGGGGTTGGCTAACTTTCGTTTGATGTCAGATATATGTCAGTACCACAAGGATACGTCCTTTTCTTCCAGGTACAAATGTTATGTAGTTCTAACCTTGGCCTCAGACTGCCTTTCCTTCATGCTGCCTTCTCTTGTATTTTCGGGATCAACTGGAAAGAATAATGTCCATGCAGGAGGTGTGGTGCAAATGGTGGAGCCACCTGCCTTCCAAAGTTGTAAGTTCAAGCCCCAGTGCTGCTAAAAGAAATTAACTTGGCATTGAGTCCATTGTTTTTCTATAATATTATTTCTCTCCCATGCGAGTCAGAGTGGTGGTGATAAAAGTTTTGGCATTTATTTATGAACACAATTATGACTAACTCAGTTACAGAAATACCACGGGTTCAAGTGGTGGCAATTGCTTTAAAAAAAAAACCAATGGATCTTTTCAAATTTTATTTCGAAAAACTGTGATTCATTTTTAAAGTGTTTGCAATAAAATTGTGATGTAAAATTATAGACACAAAAGTTAAAAAAACAGTATAATGGGAAACAAAAATATCCGTTTTCTTTTCCATCTTTTGTATGTATGTTGTACTTTGACAGTTGAAAATTTACAATTTGAATCATATATATGGTAGAAAAGCAACTTAAATACTATAAAAAGGCATAAAATAAAAAAGTAAAGATTCTTCTCCTCATTCTTTTTTTCAGACAGATACTCCTTCTACACTTCTACACTTCCCAACATTTTGGTTTTGACATAAATGGCTTCACATTATATTTACAGACACAATCATAGAAATCTCTCATGATAGTGCTGTTGAAACAACTTAATTCTTTATAATGTTTACCCACAATTCCTTCATTTAGCAGTATCCAGGCAATACCCTAATGATGCTCCTCAAGGTGTTTCTGGGTTGTGGAAATGAATATGCTGTCTGCTCCTTCAGACTAACTTTGTGTCCTTTGTGTCCAGCCAGAAGGTGACAAGCTGAGCTGTGACCTCCACCTTCATGTCATGATGGACTGCAACCTCTGAGCACAAACAAACCCCTCTTCCTTTAGCATGTTTTGTTCTCCAGTCTTCTGTCACAGAGACAGAAAAGGAACACACAAGTCTCCTTTTTATCTCTTTCCTGTTCAACTTGCTTTCAAGTATTACAACCTTTTGGTCTATCAAGGTGATATCAAGGTAAAAGATTTAAACTAGCTGGGCACTTGTGGCTCATACCTGTAAGTTCAGGAGGCTGAGATCTGAGGATTGTGGTTCAAAGCCAGCCTGGGCAGGAAAGCCCCTGAGACTCTTATCTCTGATTAACCATCAGAAAACCAGAAGTGGACCTGTAGCTCTTCAGTGGGAGAGTGCTAGCCTTGAGCAAAAGAGCTCAGGGACAGCACTCAGGCCCTGAGTTCAAGCCCACTACAAAAATAAAATAAAACATTAAAAGATGCAAAGTGTTTCTAGCAGGTATCTGACAGTTGAGGGGAATAGGGAGAACTTTTCTTTCCATAATCCCAATTTTGATAAGCTCCAACCTTTATGTGCAAAGTTTGTAAGAAATACACTCCAGAGGGTGTGGGTGAAGGGCGTGGTCTCCAGACAGCCAGTCCTTTATGTCACATTTGCACACTCAAATTTAAACAGCTGCTCAGACGCTTGGCTTGACCATAAGGTTCTGAAGTTTGGCTTGGCTTTTGTCTAGTTACAAAACCAGCCCTGTGTGTTCTTTCTGTTCTTCAGGAAGAACAGGCAGGGCCAGATGGCAATTGTGTTTTCAAGATTAAATATTTCAATTAGGGGAGTAAGTCTTTTTACACTGGGAGTTTGGATAATTCTTTTTTTTTTTTTTTTTTTTGGTCTGTCATGGGGCTTGAACTCAGGGTCTGGGCGCTGTCCCTGAGCTCTTTCACTCAAGGCTAGCACTCTCCCTCTTTGATCCACAGTGCCACTTCCATTTTGGGGTGGTTAATTGGAGGTAAGAGTTTTATGGACTTTCCTGCTGTGGCTGACTTTGAACTAGGATCCTCAGATCTCAGCTTTCTGAGTAGCTAGATCACAGCACCTGGCCACATAATTCTGTCAGCAGGTGAATCTTAGATCGAAAGTACTCCAAAATCAAATTGCTAATCTAATCTTAGCAGTGCAAGGCAGCCCACAAAATAGAGGACAAGGGGAGTGAGGAATGAATAGTGGCCTGTTTTTGGCTTATGAGTAACTCCCAGGACTCTGGGTTTCCTGGAGATGCTATACAAGTTTCCATATCTGCAAGGATCATTTTTAAAAGTTAATAATAATTCAGAATTCCTGCCACTACACTTACTGTTCACAGTTCACTACAGAGCCAATGAAAGATGCCCACAGGGTACCATGAGCTACACTAAGGACTGAAGCCCTGGATAGGGCATACAACCAGAGACTAGAAATCACCAACTTGAGGCACAATTCTTTCTTAATTTTGTTTCAGGCTTTGGAAAAAAATTAACCAAAAAGATATGAATAGGGTTTTAAAATAATACAGCATATGTGCTAGTACTGGGGTTTTAACTCAGGGCCTCACTGTCCCTTAGCTTTTTTTTTGCTCAAGGTTGATAGTCTAACACTTGAAACACAGCTCCATTTCCAGCTCTGTACTGGTTAAATGGAGATAAGAGTCTCTCAGATTTTTCTACCCAGGATTGCTTCGAGCCATCATCCTCAGATCTGAGCCTCCTGTGTAGCTGGGGTTATAGGCATGAGCCACCAGTGTTCAGTTTAACTCTTGTTTTTTTAATTCTTCTCATCAGGCCTTCTAAGCGGAGGTTGCCAGTATTGGAAATTGTGCTGTGAGGAGGAGACAAAGAAGACCTGATCAGATACTTTCCCTTCCTAATTGGAAGCAAGTATGAGAAAGTGAACAGGAGATAAAAATTGACCCATAAAGTGATGTCAACAGACTTATAGAAGATGGTTTCCATTTTGGCATGCCTCCCTATCTTCTACAAGCCTCGGGTACTCTTCTTTAGAGAAACCATGATGCCAGCTAAGAACAGTTTTTCCTCAAAAGAAATTAATACCCAAGTATACTGAATAATACTTGCTCAAATACTGCTATATCCATTCATGATATCCAAAGTTACTAAGAGAACTCTCTCTTCTCTCTCCTGGTTGTTTTCTTGATATAGGGTTTATTCTTTGTAGCCCAGGCTGGACTCCAACTCATGATCCTCCTGTCTCAGCCTTCCCAGTGCTGGGATTACAAGTGTGTGCTATTATACCCAGATTCTTCCACACTTTTTGTTTTTCTTCCCACAGTTTAGCATCTATATTAAGTTGTTCCTTACAGGTGTAGCTGGAGTGTGAATCTGGGGTGCGTTAAAGTTCTTCCCTTGTGGACCTTTTCCTGAGACACTGGCAGATGGATGTGTTGTCATCCGGCTGAGGAACAAGTTCCATTCCATCACGGATCTCAGGTTGGCTGAACTGGCGCTCCGCATATTTCTGAAATGTGTGTTTGAGAGCCACTGAGTGATTGGTACTCCCCACCTCCAATCATTATGCTTCACTATAAAACCAAAGCTCTAGTTTATTCTGGTCCTACAATTTTTTTTTCTTTCTTCTTTTTTTCTTTTTCTTTTTTTTGGTCAGTCCTGAGGCTTGACCTCAGGGCCTGGGCTCTGTCCCTGAGCTTCTTTTGCTCAAGGCTAGCACTGTACCACTTGAGCCACAATGCCACTTCTGGCTTTTTCTGTGTATGTGGTACTGACGAATCAAACCCAGGGCTTCTTGCATGCTAGGCAAACACTCTACCGCTAAGCCATATTCCTAGACCCTCGAACCCACAATTTTATGAGCAAAAAGAACCTGTTCAAAAAGAGACATGAAGCCAAATGTCCCCACATAAAATGTCTCCTCAATTTGTTACATGAACACTTAACATACTGAATATTTAAATCAGCAAACCAAGAGGAAAAGCAATTAAGATGAAGTAAGTAGTCACACATCTCCTTCCCTTTAGGTCTGGATTTATTATTTTGGTAGCCTTGGGTTTTGAATTCAAGATCTTGTGCTTGCTAGGCAAGCACCTACCACCCTCAATCCGGTTTTGCTTGAGTTGTTTTTCAGACAGGGTCTCTCATTTTTTTTTTCTTTTTGGCTACAGCCAGTCTCAAATAGAGACTATACCTATACCTATTATTTCCATGAATCTGGGATGATAAACATGTACCACTATGCCTAGCTTGTTAGCTGAGTTGGGGGTTTATTAACATTTTTGTCTGGGCTGGTCTTAAACTCTGATCCTCCTGATCTACTTCTCATGTACTTGGGATTATAGGCATAATCTACCATGTCTAGCCTCCATACCCATTTTTTTTAATGGCAACAGGCCTATGAAATGTTCTCTTCTGGCCACTGACTGGGCTTTTCCTATGCATTTGTTATTTCACTTCAGTGGTTCTGTAAACATTTAGCTGTGTATTCCTAGAGATCCAAGCAAACCTAACAGAACGGTGCTGTAAGTAGCTGATCCTAATGATTATTTCCTGGGAAGACACTTCTACTATTGACAATTAAAGCCAGGCCAGGCAAGAGGACAGAACCCATCTAGAAGGTAAGGCATAAGAGGACATTCACTTCCATTTCTACCCCCGAGGAAAGAAGCTGAAGCTAACAGGGTTGGAATCAAGGCTCAAGTGATAGAACACAGCCAGGGTTGGAGGTGTGGCTCAGTTGGTAGAGTGCCAGCCAATGAGCAAAAACATCAGGTACTAAGTTCAAGTCCTGGTCTTAGAAAAAGAAAGAAAGAAAAGAAGGAAGGAAGGGAGGGAGAAAAGGACGGAAGGAGAGAAAAGGAAGGAAGGAAGAGGAAGGAAAGAAGGAAGGAAGGCAGGAAGGAAGAAAGAAGGAAGGAAGGAAGGAAGAAGGAAGGAAAGAAGGAAGGAAGGAAGGAAGGAAGGAAAGCACGAAGGAAGGAAGAGAGCTAGAACACACATGAGCAGACAAGAGGCCTGAGTAAGCCAGAGTTCCACAGGCTGACTCTCTGATCCCTTCAGGAAGCAAAGAAGAGGTTGGCAAGGCCAGGCACATGGTCCTAGGCCTGCTGACCCCACAGGATGGGCACCCTGGACTGACCTGCAGCACTCTGTAGTAGTAGCAGTAAAGCCGGTGTGGCTGCAGCAGTTCCCGGGTAGCTGCCTGCCCTGCTCTTGCAATCTTCTCTGCTTCTTCATCATTGTCCTGAGAGGTTTTCAAAAAAAAAGGCATAACAATTACTCATGCAGCTGAGAAAGAAAGTGATCCAAGGGGGAGGAAGGAGAGATGTGGGGTTAAATGTGAAGGAGAGATCATAATGGAAATACAACTTGCGAATGCTTTGTAGAGTGGACTTTCCCAGTCATCTCTGAGATGTCCCCCAGTGCAACAATGCTGCCTCCATCCTATTTCCTGATTTCTAGCACTGGAAGAAAGCATGGGGACTCTCAGGTGTCCCAGCCTAGTGTTCTTTGCTTAAGACTCAAATGAATCAATTTTCATGTTAAAACATCCTTGAAGCTGGGCACTGGTGGCTCATAGTGGCTGGGCACTCTCAGCCTCATATTCAGGAGGCTGATAGCTAAGGATCATGGTTCAAAGCGAGCCCAGGCAGTAAAGTCCATGAGATTCTTACCTTCAATTAACCACCAAAAAGCTAGAAGTGGAACTGTGGCTCAAGCGGTAGAGTATTAGCCTTGAACAAAAAGCTCAGAGACAACACTTAGGCCCTGAGTTCAAGCCAAGGACTGGCACAAAAAAGAAAGAAAAAAAAAATCTTTTTTTTTTTTTTTTGTTTCTGGTCGTGGGACCTGAACTCTGGGCCTGGGTGCTGTCCCTCAGCTCTTCAGCTCAAGGCTAGCGCTCTACCACTTGAGCCACAGCGCCACTTCCGGATTTTTTCTTTTGGCCTATGTGGTGCTGAGGAATCGACTCAGGGCCTCAGGCATGCAAGGCAAGCGCTCTACCACTGAGCCACCTTCCCAGCCCAGAAAAAAAAATCTTTT